TGCTCTAATACAATCTGCCACACTCTTCAGATATTTGTCCTAATGAAATTACAAGGAATGAGAACGCAACAAAACTTATTGATCAAGCAGAAATAATTGAAAATGTCTGATTGGTTAGAGAGGCCAATCCTGCTCAAAAGCTTTTAGAAGTTAATATCTGCACTGCTGTCAGTGCTCCTCAATGAGTCTGGGTCACAGAAGGCTTCAATAGCACCTCTTTACATTAGGACAAGTTTTGGAGCAGATTTCTACAACAAAATTATTTGGAAAAAGTTACATACTGTAGCTTTAATCACACACAAATCTAAGTAAAACACAACATTTGCCTTCAGTTGGAGTGGAGAAGCATTGTTCCTTTTATTGTTTGCAACCTGGTTTGTCAGTGCTGTCGAGATGTGTCGCAGTTATGCTCTTTAAAGAAGTAAAAACATGAAGCTGGAGATGGTCTTTCAAATGCAGATTCAGTTGAGAGAGTTTAAAAAGTCAGTGCTCCAGGCTGTGGTGTGACAAGCTTCTCGTCAGTCTGCCAGTGCCCGAACTGTCTGCCAGTTGAATCAATCCTAATTTGGCAGCAGATCCTCTAACTACAGACAGACACCCCCCACACCACCCTACCCCTCAGTACACAGAGATGCACACAAGCTAACAAAGATAGAGCAACACACAGAAAGAAAAGCCGCATATTGTAAATAACCTAATGGCAGTTTAATCTTGGGATTTCTGCTGAGGAATGCTCTATATGCTATTTATCATCACTGTAATTTACTGCAAATATACTGTACAATAGCAAATGAACTGTAGGCTAGAAGTATGAACCACCTACACACACACACACACACACACACGATGCTGTGTAGAGCAGCTATGACTCAGCAAATAAGAAGGAGCAGATGGACTTTGTTTCCCACAGTCCTCCTTCACAGAACAAAATCATCAACATACTGTACGTCTTCATGGAAATTAAAAACAGCTAAATGCTTTGATTATGAGCAGAGTGTAATCCCTGCACTTAATACGCAATATTTTCAAGTGAAGTTGCTGTAGCACCCTTTCTTTAGTCCCTGCAGAGCTGGATATAGACCAAAGAGGAGGAAGGAGACAGGGAGGGAATACAAAGTCAAAGACAAACTGAGAAAACAGGAGGACACACAGATAGACAAAGTGGGGATTAGGGGTGAGAGAGGGAGAGACAAAAAATAGGACAGAAAAAGAGAGCAATGCCAGACTTTGCAAATGAGGACTAAACAGCCGTAAAAACACTGGCATGTTGACAGCTCGAGAATCACAGACAGACAGACAGACAGACAGACAGACAAGGTACAACATAGGAAGAAAACTAAACATTATATAAGAGGATGGAGAATGATGCAGATAGAGAGAGAAGCAGAAACAGCAATGAGTGGGAACAAAATAACAGACAGAGAGAAGAAGACAGAGGCTGCAGAGAAATCAGAAAAGGGAAGATGAAAAGAGATTCAGCCTTGCCAACAAAGTGACGAACAGGCCGACAACGGTGGCCATGAAGGCAATTGCTTAATGCAATATTTACTGTTCATTTATTAATTATTTGAAATGGTATTCTTAATTTATGCTGAATTTGATTGTTGATTGCAGACAAACTTAACATTTTGCATATGTAGCTCATCTTCTGTCCTCTGAATAAAAGCCTCAGGTTTGTGCTAGCTCAGCATCACTCTAACTTATAATAATTATTACCAAATTATATGCTTCCTTCCAGGAAACGTCTTAGGAAATTATTTAGGAATAACCTGAAATTTACCGACCTGTAAAATAAAGAATTAAACATGAACAGAAAAAACAACTACCAAAGCCAAAGTTTTATAGATGACATGCGAGTGCATACACGAGGGATGGGTACTGAAAATTTCTTTAGTAAATCTAGAGTCTACATTCGAACTGTAGTTCACAGTTTTACAAGTTATATTCTGTATTTTATTTGGGAAAAGTTCTTGTTTGGCTGCTTGTGTTTAGACAACATTTAATATTTGGGTTTGGCAGAAATGTACTACTCAAAGCAAGGTACTGCAAAGAATATTGTTTTGGTGTCAGCACTGAAACATTTAATATTATTAAAAAGCCTTATAACACAGCCACAAATGCAGATAAAAGTAAACATACATAAATGAAGAGGCGTAATGAGAGGACTGCCAGTGGACTGTAGCTAAAACAGACTCACTGACTTGCAGTTGCACATTTTAGCTGCAGTATGTTTAGCTAAAATGAACTCCTGAAAACATCATGAAATTAATACAAAGTAAATATATAAAACATCCATATATGCAGCCTTTCAATTCTTGGGACTGATAAGAGACTGAAAAGGCTTAGAAGAATAGAGCTGTGGGGATGTATGTATTCCCGATACCCCACCGTCTCTAGCCTCATTACAAAGGTTAATGAAGGCAGGAAGCCTGAGCTCCGGTTCTCAGATGCTGTCTCTCTCTCTCAGCTCTGCTGGGACTCAATATGAGCTGGCATCCAGGCCCAGAAACCTAATTCTGCCGCGGGCTCAATGACACATCTAGACAAAGTTTATGTAACTGTTCATTGTTATTTTATAAACACAGGTATTGAGGTTTACTCTCTGTTATACGAAGACTGATTCTTTCCACAATGGGTAAATCAACATGGATTAGCCACATTTCAGAGAAGGTTTAAAATTGCTACAAGCTTATCTGGTGTTTTCTGAGACCTTTGCACATTCAGAAACAGGACAACGCTTTTGGCCAGGATTTCCTCTCATGCTCAAAACACACATGGACACTCCCATATGCAAAGGTGCTCTGATCCAGTCTACTGTTGAATCTCTTTCTTCATCAGTTTTTCCCATCTTGCTTTTGAGTCCCTCATTCTCCCCACTTCAGTTTTCTTATTAACATAATCACAAACTCTCCCACTCACATTAACCCACGCAAGCATGTACAATCGCACATAAAAACAGAGAAGGAGTTGATTCTGCACTCAGCACAGCATAACCAATTTGGCAGTGAGTGTGTTACCATGCCTACAGGCCCAATCAATGCTGTATCTAAAAATAGCATGACCATAATAGTCGTACTTCCAATCACAGAGGGGTGAACTGGGCGAAGGCAGCATTTATTGTTTATTTGCCAAGATAACTGTAACCAGTTGCAACTACAGAATAAGTGAGCAGTGTGCAAAAGCGTGAGTTTGATCCCCGATAGGGGATTTTCTAGAAAAACCCGAGCATGAGATCTGGAATGACTTCCTGCTGGGTTAACAGTGGATCACTGAATAGACGCCATGGTTTCAAACACGGTGCCTCCACAAGAAGTTTAATCTTTAGAAGTGGGATAAATGATAATCCATCCATCCATCCATTTTCCTCCGCTTATCCGGGACCGGGTCGCGGGGGCAGCAGTCTAAGCAAAGATGCCCAGACTTCCCTCTCTCCAGACACTTCCTCCAGCTCCTCCGGGGGATGCCCGAGCCACCTCAGCTGGCTCCTCTTGATGTGGAGGAGCAGCGGTTCTACTCTGAGCTCCTCCCGGGTGACCGAGCTCCTCACCCTATCTCTAAGGGTGCGCCCGGCCGCCCTGCGGAGAAGGCTCATTTCGGCCACTTGTATCCGGGATCTTGCCCTTTCGGTCATGACCCAAAGTTCATGACCATAGGTTGTTCACAACTGAGGGAAGGATGAATAAATGATAACACACTACTAAAATGGCAATTAAGAATAAAAAGCCCACAGGGTGAAGAACACATTATTGAGAATGAGTCACAAATTGGGCATTTAGGGGATGATTACTGCTGTACAACACAAAATGTCAGGACACCCTTGACGTCAAATAAAATCTGTTTCACAATAATGATGTCATTGTGATGCTGCTGCCAGGGGAAGCATCGCTCTGCGTCACCACATTCAGTAACTTGGAGCTACAACATGGCATAGAGAGAGGGGAGCAGACAGACAGGCAGGAACAATGACGAGGGGGCTGGCGCGAGAGATGGAGAAGTGACATGAAGACAGGAAGAGACCACAGAACTAACACCTAACATGCTGTGAGTCTCTCTGTGCTTTCCCTTCTCTGTTGACACACACAAACACAAAGCACAGAGAACACATGCTTGACCTTATTAGCATATCGTTCAGTGCCTTTTCCACATACATGGGACCACATGACTTTAGTGCTGTAGTGAATGGACCTATACATACATACATACATGTGTGCATATAATACTGTGTTCTTTTTATAGAATCTCCTTCCACAGCCGAGAGAGGGAGCTGGATAGGTGGGTGAATTATCAAGGGGACTGAGACTGAGATTTATTTTTGTGTTCGGAGGCAAAGCTCTGGCACAGATCTCTACAGCGTGGGCGAGAACCCAGACTCCATTCATCATCGACCTCGCTCACTCTGTGTCACTCTCTCTCTCCACAGGTCTGGCTGCGAATGGGGACCCAAATGTTGTTCATTCATAAAAGGCTCATGAAACATAAATGAGAGTGTGGTCATAAAATGTTTAGCCATTTTGAGCTTTCTATCAGCCAGTTCATCAAGCAACACCCATTCAAAACCGCCAACCTTCATAAAAGAATGACTGACTGATTGATTGATTGAATGATAAAAGGATGAAGGCAGTTAGGAAGAGACCACAAAACTAACGCTGTGAATGCCTGTGACACACACACACACACACACAGTAAAACCATGTCCAAAACAGCAACAGAAAACCCTTTATCTTAGTGTCTAATCTATTGCTCTTAATGGAACCACTCATCATGTATGATACTTTCTACCAAACATTCTCTCTCACTGAATATAATGCAAGAGTTTGCCCCTAGACCAGAAGCATTAATAGACATAAAGTTACCCTGAATGCAGGCTAATCAGCAATGCTAGCCATGACAAAACCAAGTCAGAGCCAAGTCTGACATCCTTTGGCACCATAAAAAGGCAAACACTAACAATTCAATCAACATTCTGTGCACTGATAGAAATGAGAAGGGTTCATTCTCACCAGTTTTCCCTCCAGAGTGTAGATCTTCTTCACGACTCCAGAGTCGAGCTTGATGGCGTCAGTGATGTCAGTCAGGACTTGTTCATAGGAATGGGCCGTTTTCTTGATAAGCAGGATCCTCACAGCTTTCCGGGGCTTCACTCCACTCCGCACCACAGTCACAAGCTTTGGACGTATGAAGTCCTTGTCCCGGCTCTCGGGTGCACCAACCTTAGCACTGCTCAGGGAAGGAGGCCCGCGGGAGGATGCTGCTGAGACCTTGATATTCACCGACCAGTTGGGGTTCACATTTTTTGAGTAATCCACCTTTTTGTAAGCTTCAGTGGAGCTGCATACATAGCTGTCACCTGTTGGGTGTTAGGAAGGAAGAGGAGAGGGAAGCAAAGAGATTTAAAGTGGATTTAAAGTGGAAGAAATGACATAAGATTTAATGATGACAACAGAGATTTGAAACTCTATTGAGAAAGAGAAGAGATGATCAAAAATGGTGAGGACTGTAAAAGAACATAGAGAAGCATGGGACAGAAAATCAACACATACTGTAGCCTGTCTACTTTGTTCTATGCAGGTACAGCATCTTTTAACCAAGCAACAGCAGTTTTAATCTAGCAGCAGGCAGCATAATACTTTAATAGAATAAACTTCTAAATATACTGATATGGAACATTTTGTAGCTTGCTTTCCTTTCAAATGCTCATATAGATATGATAGATATAACAAAGGATGATGTGACCTGTAAGTCATTTCTCACAACATAATGATATTGGTATGTACAATATTAGAGTAGAACAAACCAAGGGAATCCTTAGCTGAGCCAAAACATGATATAATCTTCATAATGATAATTTACAGTGGGATTAATCACTCAATTATGTCAGTAAACTATCTTGTTGAGCCTGATTTATAAATCAACCTGTCCAAGTACACTGGTCTGATTTTGGGACTGGTAACTTCAAATCTTCTGTATTGTTAATTTTTATTTTGCCTTATTCTAAACAGCAGGGACCCCAGCACATGTCATTTGGCAGGTCAGGCAGTGGTGGGTTTTTTTTTATCGAGAAGAGATGCACAAGCTGATCAGCCTGTATCTACTCAACCTTCTACCAGCTGGTCAATACTGGTGATTTTCTTGGAGCCATCCAGGGTGTAGATGGTCCGGACCCCCTGGGGCAGGTTGACGTTGTCGGACAGGGAGCGAGTCAGGTCCGCCAGCAGCGCGTCAAAGGTCCGGAACCTGTCTGTGGAGATGGCGTATACTATCCCGTTGAAGTACCGGTCTCCGTTGCGGTAGAAGCGGACCTTCTTGGCTCTCTTCTCCGCGCTCAGTGTCTTCAGAGTCCGGGTCCGGTACAGGCTGCAGTGGGCGCTGTGTGTGGGACTCGGCACCCCGTTCATCTTCGAGCTGGAGCGGCCGTGCCTCTGATATTTGTCTCGCTCATCGAAATGCTCCATCTCCATCGCGCTCCCGAGGCTCACAAGTACTGCTGTACTGTCTGCGTGACAAAATGGGAGAAGAAGCCTACTGTGAAAAGTTTTCTAAACCGATTAACCCTAGGTAAACAAAAACAGGAAAACGAAGAAACAAACCGAGAAGAGGTTTGCACAGCCGATAAAGTAGCCAGCCTGTGTTGGTCGCTGGTGCACAGTCTGAAAATAACTCCCTAATGACAGATTAAGCGCTCTTAAGACGAACAGTGTGCTTCATGAGGATCCACACTGTCTGACAGAGTCGCCTGAGCTGGTCTGAAGCGCAGGTGGATGGAAAGAGAGCGGCAGTCACGAATCAATAAGAACCTATTAATTTTCTTCTTTATAAATATTCAGAAGCTCCGCGCACAGCTGGACGAAGTGCAGCCTTCTTGGTGGGTGCTGCCCAGCATAAACAGCGACCCCAAAACAATAGGCACTTCAACTGTTATTCAAATATGAAAGGCTATATTTTAGGCTACTTTATCGTCTTGGGATCAAAGGTTAAAAAACACAGAAGTAAGTGTGTTTAAGATATTGTCAAATGGAATAATCAATCACTCTCATGGCTTTTGATAGGAGAGCACAAGCTTACCGACGCGAGTGATTAACGCTTCTGTGACGGTCACCTCCAGCCTGCCTGACGCTTTATTTCCTCGTGGATATGAAAAATACAGTTCAGTGAGCCTGAACTGACACTGGATGGTGGTGAAGTGTGATTCTGTCCTGACTGACTGCAGTGAGCCCCCCCTGTGCGCCCCTTTGTTGTCCGGCTGACGTGCTCTACCACCAAACACCAGAATGTGTGTGTGCTTGTGTGTGCGCGCAATGAGCAAAAAAAGCAGATCTGGGCTGGAAATTAACTAGGTAGCAGCTGCTTCCCCTCCCATTCTCTGTTCATCCACCTCCTCTCTCCTCCTCCACGTCACTCTATCGTGATTTTCATTCAGCGCCGCCACCCCTCGTTAGGACGCAAACCTCCGCTTCCCACCCAACGCTGCTGGTCCTGCAGCCCCCGGCACAGAAGACACGCGTTGGGTAGATTGTCTATTTATTTTTTTGGTGGTGGGAGGAGGGAGGTCCGATACTTCTTTCATTTATGGCGAGAGGTTTTCTGTAGTCAAATTACTTTTATGCTCATTTAAGAGAAGTAGATAATCACGCACTGCGTATTTTTGTTTCATTTGATAAAAAATAATTACAAAACAAGACAAGAAATGTAAGCATTTCGGTGTGGAAGAGAGAATTACATCCGAGTACAATTCTTGAGACCAAGAGCAGCATTACTGTAGAATTAACCCACAAGAATATTTGCACATCAGACATTATGTAACACACTCCATTGTGTGCACTAGGAGTCTCAAGGCAGCTGCAACGTGAACTAGCTGTAAGGTTCAGATTATGCAGATCAGCTTTAAATGCTCTGTGGCAAGTATTATTTTCATTAAACACCATTTATTTCCTGAACAAAAACTCAAACAGGATTACATGTCTGAATAATTTCAACATACTGTATGTTGACTTCCACTGGACTGCAAAAGCAGGGGTGGATCTAGAAGGTTTTGGAGGGGTTGGCCAGGCTGGGGAACAGACTCAGAGAGGGGTGACACATTTTAAATATATGTGAAAAGTAAATTAAACTCCCAGTTCTATGAAATAACAAAGCATACATTATTAAGAATCAAATTTTTTATCTTGTGTAAACACGAGGCACACACAGTGCTTTCTTTAGTTAACTTTGGCTGCACACCTTGTTTACTCCCACCTAGGGACATCACAGCTACTACTGTACTAGTACTACTACTGTACTTCACTACAACACAATCAGATAAATGAAAGCAAATATCAAGCTGCATGCATGATGATAAAGCTAATTTGACCAATACTGATTATAAAGCACCAGAAAATGTCATAATAAGAATGTAATACTGACAAGCATTACATTTTGGCTCTGACCATTGCCACCACCTATCAGCAAGACACAGTCTCTAAATCGATAAAGACCACCTACTTACACCCTGGCCTCCAGACACCACCCAGTTCCTCTCTATCACCTCTCCATCTCCACCCTCTGATGAACCATATGTGTTACCCAGCTTATATCTGTGCCACTGATGTTGAAAGTTACAGATCCAGCCTCTTAAAATATCGTTCTTCTATCAGTGTGTTCACAGTGGTTTAACAACTGGAAGACACATACAGGGACCCAGTGTGCATCACAACCTCAGGGGTTGTCTAAATGAATGAACAGGGCACATGTAGGGAGAATGACTTTAGTGCAAAAAGATGGAGGAAAGGGGCATAACAAGGACAAGGTCACAGGCATGACCATGTCCAAAAAAAGCAGTGCCGTGGTCTCATTTCCAAAAGAATGTGTGACTCAAATCTGATATGACACATAGTTAGAATGTGGGGGCAATAAGTCTTGAATGCAATTCTGTATGGCACTGGATAGCCCATTCTTAGAAGCTACTGCAACTTTCAAAGCACAATATAAGAGTTTATTTGCATCCTCATTTGTAAAAACAGTGCAGCTGACTATCCACATTAAGATCTGAATTATATAGGCTTGTAATATTGCATCCATACAGGTAATACAAAGGGTACAGTTCTTCTTCAAGGACATCTCTGTTGCTGAAGCATGAATAGGCAACTTCCTGAGATTCAGCTGACTTGTATAACAGGAGATGTAGAATTTTGGCATTGGTGTCTAAGACTATCGAAGTATCTTTGCAGGCACAGTTGAAACTAGAGCACATTTAATGTGGATCAAACCGTTTTATGATCTGCTGTCGGTCATTTAAAAAAGGACAGATGTTACTTTTTAAAGCTAAAAACACGGTTTAGCACATATCTGCTAATGCATTGCTGAAGTGAATGAAGCTCAGACATGGATGCGCGGGCTGATGATTTATCCTGTGGCAAATCCCATCTGTAATAATTCAGAAAATTAAATCTGTCTTAATTTTACAGTCCAGGAGAGAAATAAAAAAAAAACATCCCCTCACACTGTAGGCAGATGCTACAATTATATTCCATTCTGTCAGTAACCACAGCATCTTTGTGCTACAACCACTTCATTACAATTTCACACAGCACAGTATGATGTGTAAACACAGGGATGGACGTGAGAGCCACAATCTAACTCATGTCAATTCACATATTTCATATTTTCATCATATACTGTATATGCATGAGCATGCATGTATGGAGACATGCAAATGATTCTTTTATACACACTCACATGCACTTGCATATACACTGAGCTATTTGAGCATGGAGAGCACAGCTAATTGAATAAGCATGGGCAGGCAGCAGCAGTGTGATTCGGCGTGTTTTGACAGATACTGTAGTGATTCATCAGTGTTTCACCTGTTGGTTACGCAGCGTGTGATTTACAGGCAGGACGCAGTGACTTGTACTTAAATCAGCAAGTGCATGAAGCAGACAGAAAAGAGATGAGAAGGAAGGAGTGAGAGAGCAGTGTGCTGTAAATGTGCCTTCTTTCATAAGGAAACAAGGGACTGGCTATCTTTAAATAAAGTCATTAATCTGAGAAAAACACTGTGTCACTGCAGGACATTGAGGGTAGTACACCATCTCAGCTAGTCACACAGTTTCAGAAATATAAGCGGACCTGTAAAAGAAAACTACACCCTAAAACAGAATTCACACTGCAGTTAAATCAATACCTGGAAAAGCAAACAAAAGTGTTAGGATTTGGATAGATACTGTAATCAAGAGACACTTTTTGAACTTGGTTTTTCAATGAATACCTTATTCTGAGATTATAACATACATTATTTGAGATATTACATTTGAATTACAGTTGCAACATCTCAATCTGAATAAAGAGCCAGAAGTGACATTATTGATGCTGAAAAAAAAAAAGAACCCATCCTCCACACTTTTTCACAAACACAAGTGAAACAGCTTCTGGCAATTTTCATTTTCACTATGGCATCTTAAAAGGATACAGATTTCTTACACCCACATTCATAAAGGTGGTCAGTGGGTGGGATGGGGGTGACTGGTTGCTCTGTAGATGAACTACATACAAAGAGAGCGGTGGATGCGGTGCTGCTCACATAATGCAAGTCGTAGGAGGCGCTTTGTAAAAACTGCAATGACACTACAAATGTCAGGCTCAGCAGGCTTCTGGCACATTAGCGGATGACCTCACCACAATGAAAGCCTGTAATATTCCTCCCTCTGAAACATTTGTACTTATGGTCAGTCTTCTTGATGAAACAAAGAAATGTAAGAAAACATTAATGCCAGACTTCATTATAAATGTAACATTTTATACCATGAGATCAGTGTACCACTGTATTTGCCATCAACTGTAAAATAAACACTGAATTACAATACTGACTGTGTAGAAAATTTACATAGGAACCACAATGTTTTCTAGCAATCAGCCTTTGGGAAATGTGAACAAAGCCACAGAAAGTTGAAGGACATACAAGTACATTCTGGCAATGAAAGTATAAGAAGTAGATATGGAAAGTATCTACTGCAAACCCAGAAGAGAACATTACCTTATTGTAAAAAGGGCTATAACCCCAAGTTTGGTTTAGGGATTGTTTTTCATGTAGCGCTCTAAGTTGGGTAGCCTGCTTCCCCTTTGGGATTTCTTCTCTAGTTTTGTCTCAGTTGTTGCTCCACCACCACCTCCTCCTCCTTTTACATACGCCTCTCCTCCATCCTCTTCTCTCTCTTCCCCTTTTGTAGAATCAGCCTCTGCCTTCTTGCTGGCTTGCTTCCCTCTGTACACCAAGATATAACAGGGAAAAAAATACAGCGCCTGAATGAATGCATGACCACAGGCACAATGAAAAATCAGCTAGAAACTAGGTATCTCAGAGAGTTAAAATAACACTGGAATATTTCTCCACTCAGAATTAATTTGCCCAACAAGGTGAATTTATTCGCTATGGTACATCTAAGGAGCTTGTATGCTAACTGAAAAATTTGCAAATCAGTTTACACAGAAATTCTAAGATGATATTTACTCATAGTATATCACATAGTAAACAGAGTCAAGGAGGTCTATAAACTGATTTTAGAGTTTTGTGCACACAGTGATCAAAACCAGAATACTCGCTCAGATATTTGCTTTCTTCTGTTACATGACTTTATCTCCGGTCATTCTGAGAGCAAGCTACAATATGTTCCAGATCGACTGCTTCCTTTTGTTGCACTACATTTAGGACGTCAGCATTAAAGCCTCCACTCAGTGCAGCTCTCTGTCAGTTTGCTTTAAAGTATTGCAGTTCTGACATTAACTTTAAAGCTCAATTACAAATTTGGTTAGAAGCATAAACTCTGTTCTGTACTTAATGACCTTCACTATACCCCATTTTAGCTATAAGTGTTCTTATGCTGTTTTAAATTAGGTAGTTCTATGTTGATAAATGGCAGAATTTACTGTATTTTCTATAGTCCCTTGAACATACATCAAATAAAAACAAAAATAAAAACAAGCTGATAAAAACAAGCAACAAATTAAGGCATTCATGAAGCCTCAAATGATACTTACATGTGTTATGGTCATTTTGAAAGGCACAGTTTGCTCATTCCACTATTGTTGATATTATTGTGTCTATTACCTTTGAGTGTTCTGCCTCACTGAGCTTCTCTGTTTGCTCTCTGGCGCCCTCTGTGGCTGAGTGGAGTACTGTCTTCTTTGGGCTTCAATGGTGGAGGACAGCTGTGACAGAGGACACTTCATGAGCAACCATAGTTACTATCAAAACAAAAACATTATGTTTAGCTGTTGGCACATGTATTGCATGTGTGCTTTTGTGTTTACAGCAGGCATGAGCCAGTCACAGGATGCTAAAAATGTTGAAAGAAATGTAGTTGAATTTCCCTGCATTCATTTCAGGAGCTAGTGCTGTTGCATCCTAAGTCCTCACCTCACCCATTATATATGGACAGAATAGCAATAGAGGACGAATGTGAAATTACAATATGACCTAAAAGAGAAGAGCTCCAAAGCACACCAGTCTGCTCTGTATACTGTACTGACCTTTTATAGAACCTTTACAGATATTCTTCAGTGTCACATTAATAGTTATGAGCACTGCTATTGATTTGGATGAAAGGGAATAAGGATAAGGATAATGCTTACCTTAGTGATTTCTGAAAGGAATGCCCGCCTCTCGTCATTGGTTTTATGAAATGCCTGATATTTGAAAGAAACAGTGAAAACTGTCAGCAACCTCTCTGCTCATGTGCTTGTTGTGTGTGTATTTCACAGGTCACTAATGTTAATGAGCAATAGATTATAACAGGGATTACTGGCTGCATGCAGCATGTTAAACTGTTATTCAACAAATATCTTGCTGTTTGTTGAGCAAAACAATAAACAAAGAACTAAATTACTACACTAACAGCATATTGGCTGAGTGGTAGAAATACAGGACAAAGGTTAGGATTCCATTTTGCATCAGTGGCTGTTAAAAAAATAAAGAATGCAAAACCAATATATCACTTAAATCTTTTTAAATCCTTCACTAATGATGGTAATTTGTAACCGAAATATTTATTACCTGGAAAAATTTAAAGCTGCTTGTCTAAGAAATAACAAAAGTAGATCATCAGACATTGTGACCCTCAGTAATACTCAGCACAAAAATTCCTGTTACTGTGCTTTGTCAGGCAGAACAGGGTGACCCACACCTTTCCCTCCTGTTCAACTCTGAGATGACAGTCCATCAGCTGACTCTGGAGGTCAGACTTCTCTTCAGTCAGGAGCCTCAGACGCTGTCTCAGTGTTTCCTGCGGCAAAGTGTTTCCATTAATTATCAAAATTCACAACAAAGAGGCCACAAAGCATCAAGCTGTTGTGCTACTAATTACAAATCGATTTGTAGTAGAATTACACTGCACTATCTACAAGGATCAAACAATAGCAGAATACTTAATGCAGAGAACATGAGTACAAAACTGGATTAGGCTCATACATTATTCAGTAATGAATTAAACACACTGGAGCCGTGATGTGGTGAGGAGGCAGGAGCTTAATGGCACAAAGGAAAGCAAGGAGACTGGGTATATTTCTTGTACCTCAAAATAAGCACCTGTGGGCAGTGTGCTTAAAGACACATGAGCTGTATCATCCTGTGGCACAAAATCAAAATACTCAAGTAAAGTACAGATACCTCAAAACTGTACTTAAGTACAGTATTTGAGTAAATGCACTTAGTTTCTTCCCACCACCTGTTGCTGTTACACGTGATTATGTGGAAATATGTATAATACTTCTGTTTATTTATATTACACATTATGATGCTTGCTTTAATAACTTTAATCAGAGATTGTGAGGTGTCTCCACATCAGACATTTCCACAAAGCAGTGCAATAACCTTCAATGTCAATAAAAGTTTCAGTTATCTGACAGAAATTAATGTACAGTATATGATGAACTACATAATGCTACAGAATGTATCAAGAGAAATGTCCAAGTTTCTTTTTTTTAGCTGCACACATCACTGCACTAATTAAAAATAATCTAGATTTTTCTCCCAGTCTGTTTTATTTCCACACTCACAGTTTCTTCAGATCTTCAGTTCACAATCACTGGATACACTAATGAGTATCCTTTAGTTCTGCCTTAAGGCACACAAACACACATGCCGTATTTAGACCGTATTGTGCAACCTTTGATTGTGTAGAGTGCATTCATGTGTGTTAAAGCAATGTAATTAGTGTACATTACTCTCCCATGGTTTATAATCCTGTGATTACAATGCTGTGATTAAACTCTGGTTTATCCCGCCTGCATCAGCGGGAGCAGATCACAGTGCTCTCTGTCCCCTCTGCCTTCTCTCCACATTCTGGGTCTTTGTCTCTCTCTGCTGGTCTGTCCCTCTATTTCACATACATCTCCAGCTCTCTGTTGGTCATCTGTTAATCTGCAGTAAAAGCCCACACAAAAAAACACCCGTACAGAAAAAAACAGATCACTCACCACTGGCATGTCATCGTAAGCTCGGATGGAAGCCAATCGATCTGTGAAAAATGAGAGAGAGAGTGGGTGAGAATTGTGTGTGCACGCACTAACATACAAACTTGTGTGAGATGGACAATGTCTTAATTTTGTATATTTATGCCATACTATACTCAGATACTTTACAGTATCCAGCCAGTCCTAACAAACGTGCATCCAGCATCAACCCCTTTAAAAGCTCACACTAGCCTGTGAACTTACCCACGGGGTCGCCTTGTAGGTCCTCCAGTCTCTCGTGAATGAGAGAGATCTGTCTTTCCAGCTGTCTGTTTAGCTCTATCTGTGTCTCATACCTTGTCTTCCACTCATTTTCTAGTGAGCAGAGGAAACTACAGTCACACTACAGGTAACACTGTAAAGTGACTGGACAGATAGAAACCAGTGGATACCAGCTAAGGTAAACCTTTGTAGGGTAACATATACAGTGGCAAAAAAGTAGGTGAGCTATTCTTTGTAATCAGCTGTTTTCTAGTCACAAGACACACAGGTATAAACAAACACAATGTGCTTACGCTACAATAATAACAAAGAAACATCATATTTTGCGTCATTACATAACACATTATATCCAAAGCTGGTGGGGGAAAAAAAAAACTTGAAACCTTGGATTTAATAACTCGTTGGACCTCCTTTGGCGGCAATAACCGCAAACAAGTGTTTTTGGTAGCTCTGCACAATGTTCCTACAATTCATCCTTGGGGTGTGACTTCAGAATCATCTACCACACTTCTAGGGAGAGTGGCCACAGTCCTAAACTGTATCTAACTGTGGGCTGGTGAAGAGCTAATATCTTTGAGATTACTTTGAAACCCTTTCCAGGGTTGTGCAAATCAACAGTTCTCAATCTCTGTGAAACTGTAGCTACATATTTCCAAAATGATACAGCAACCAGTTTCACTCACCCTCCCCATCAACACTGCGCAGCCTTTCTTGCAGTTCACACATAGTGCTCCTCAGATCAGACACAGACTCTTCAAGCATTTCTCTATAACCAAGACGATCAGTATTTTGCAGTGGAAAATAGTAAGGAATCTTTTTGATGACTTTACGAGTAACGAAGTTGCCTCAAACAAACTTACTTCATCTCCCTCTCTTGCTCCAGTTCAGCCTGCAGGTGCACCAAATCGTATTTGCTGTAGTCGCCATCTCCAGTCATGTTTGTGAAAAACTCACATCTACTGAAGAGGTTTGTGCCTAGAGGTTCCCATGGAGAGCTCTACTTCCGGTTTGTTCGAGCAGCGTCGGCAACAATGGAGCCGAATCGGGGGAAGTTCAAAAGTAAAACGTCGAGGTTTTGACAGCATCTTCTCGACAAACTAACATTTCTGCAAACGTAATTAGGCCTGAAAATTCACTTATTAAAGTCCAACCGAGGGCTTAATTCACCGTTCACAAGTAATGGCCTGTAAAGACCAAATGATTATCGTAGAATATCTCATTAGAATGGAAAAACAAGCAAAGCTCAACATGTGATTGCAGAATTTTACACAGACTACGTTTGTTTTTGTTTTGTTTTTTTTCATTTTTCTCTAATAACACCGTACATCCAATATAAAATTAGTATTGCTACTATTAAAACTTATATCCACAGTCAAAATGTGAACTATTCTTTATAGTATAAAGAATATTTCACAAACGTTATCATATGTTTATACATATGATATTTATGTTTTGCATTTCTTTATTAGGGCAGATTTCATAGAGATCTCAACAGCGGAGGTCATCTCTGGCTATAAATCCACTACATTTAACTGCAGCCAGTAGCCTGAACAGGTTTACCAGTAGTCTGTAGATACTGAAGGTTTTGTCATATATGAAGCATTAAGAAAACACACATAATATATATGTTAATATACAACGCCAAGCTTACAAATATACCACATACGTTTGTTTCAAAGTTGGCAAGCATATAACAAAATATTTAGCTACCTCTGGCCTGAGAGATAAACTTTATTGCCAAGTATTACCAAGAATACAAGGAGTCTGACTCCAGCCCACTGGCCTCCAATGTGCACATATAAATTTAAATATATAAACACAATAACACCAGACCCACAAGTAAAAAAAAAAAAAAAAAAACTAAAGACAAAAATGTATACACATACATATGTACAAGTTAAAAGAGCTACTATAGCTAATGTACATCTGGACGTTGCACAGTGATGTGTACTGCGTCCTGCCATACTGTTAAACGTAGACTAACTGTTCACAACTGTGATGGCCCAGGGAAGAAAATACTTCTGTGTCTAGATGTTTTAATGCACATCGAGCTGTTGCGCCATCTAGACGGAAGGGGTTCAAACTGTTTGCCTCCAGGGTGTGACGGGTCTGCAGAGATCTTCTCCTTTTGACCCGTGAGGTGTACAGGTCCTCCATAGAGGTCAGGCTGGCACCGATGATTTTTTCTGCAGTCCTGACTCTGTCCTAATTGGTTGCTGAGCCAAACCAGACAGAGATGGAAGTCCAGAGAACAGATTTCTCTATAGAACTGAATCAAAAGCTCCTGAGTCAGGTTGAACTTCCTGAGCTGACGCGGGAAGTCCATCATCTGCCTTTTTAATGATGGCACTGATGTTAGTTGTCCACTTCAAATCCCGAGAGATTGTGGAGCCCAGGACTTGTAGGACTCCACGGCTGAAACAGAGCTGCTGAGTATAGTGAGCAGAGACGGGGTGGGGGGGGGGGGGTGCCTGCT